TATTAACTTTAAAGAGAAAAAAGCTTAAACCAAAAGTTAAAGTTGTTTTCTGCCCCTGGGCTAGGGAAACAATGCTTTGAGGTAACTCTTTCTGGAAGCAGGATGTGTTGGATGCTTAATATAAATTAGGATGAGACAAAAGGTACCACAAAGAAGTCAGGCTGAGCCTGGTAGAGCCAAATGAAGGATTTTAAACAAAGGAACACTTAGCTCAAAGCCAAGATATTATTTCTGTAACCTATAGTACACACATGAAAGGATGAAGTTAAGGGGTGAAGATGTACAAATCTAATTGTCCAGATTTTCTTCCAAGTGGAACTGTTCACTTAGTTTCACATACTACTACTCAGCAATCTTGGGATAGCAGTGTGATGTATGTCTGCTGGCTTCAGGCCTCATTGTTAATAAGGAGGAGACTCCAGCAGTGTGGCTACAGACTGGCCACTAGATGGCACATTACCTCTGTACTTGGTTGGTCCCTGGCACCCTAATAGAAAACAAAACAAAACAAAAAACAACCACTGGGAGGTGGCAGGATATTGGGATTCCAGAACTCATCTTGGAAAATTCATTTACCAGTTTTCCAAATTTACAATCTCTCAGTCCATACTTTGTTACTAAGACCAAGACAGTGTATCAATTTTCTTCTAAAACCTATTCCATTATGCTAAATGAACATTTAAAAAGCCACAGAACCCTCTGAAGGCATCTAGTTTACACTAAGACCCTAGAGCAGTAGTGACAAATACTGGTATCTCAAACATTATGTGTAATGACATCCAATTATAGTGATCATACACAGAAAAAAAATTTAAACAAGAATTTATTTCTTAAATTTACTTAAAGGATTAGAGCGGATACATAGGCAACGTTTACAATAACATTTAGAGTTATGTCAACATAAGACCGATAGCTATGGTAACAATTAGCACATGCAATTCACTGTAGAGGTAAAGATACTTACTCTCTCTAGACAAGCCTTCTACACGAAGGTAGACTACGTAGGGGTAAAAGAGCAAGTGAACTTGAGAGGATTGCACTTACAAGTAAAAGGGACATAGCTAAGATATAAAGAGGATACATACCTAATGCTAATCACTGTATTGTAGTACTAGCAAATTGCACACTTATTTAGAGTATATTCAATAAACATGTTAAGACTAAAGGATTTTCAAATAACTGCCTTTAAAGTAACCATCTGACATCACATTTTGGTATTCATGTTACACCACTTGAAACATGTAGTTACCATTCAGACAAAACTGGTCTTTAAGGGATAAAAGATGTAGAACATTTCTCTCCATGGTCTTCAATGCATTTTCATCATTAACTTTAAAGCACTTGGTAATGAAGTTAAAACTAGCCCACCTGAAGGAGCTACTGATGGCAAAAAGCTCTTAAAAATTTAGGAACAAGTGGACAACACAAGAGCTCATCCCAGGTGGTCTTCTTTTTCTTTTTAACGAAATGTATAGTATAATACCACACTACTGCATAATAGTAGCACATAAAAAAAGATTAATCCAAAAGACCGTACATTTGACTCTAGAAAGTTGTTTTGACTTGCATCCGAATTCTGTTTATAAATATTCTGAAAAGGAACTGCTGTCAAAGACCAGTTGCTACTTTATACCTTCTTTTAAGAATAAAATTGGGTCATTGTCATGGATTTCAAAGTTTTTTTTTTTTTTTTTTTTTTTTTTTTTTAGTTATGTCTTCTCTCAGCATAGGGCTTGCTTGAACCTATAACCCCAAGATCAAGAGTCACATGCTTTTCTGAGCCAGCCAGGCATCCCGACCATGACCAATTTTAGGTTAAACATAAATAGCTTGCCATTTTATGGCTCCATACTCTCCTTTTATAGAAAAGTGCAATAATTTTTTTTAAAGCAATCTTGGGCAGTAGAATTGAACACGACCTGCAACAGAAAGCTATCCCAGTAATTTTTAACAACTGAACTTTAAAATTTTTATGTAGCTTATTGTATTGACATTTGACCCATTTCAACAAAACAACAGAAGTGTATGGTTTAAAAATTTGTTCTTAAACCAAACATAGGAGAATGATGTGGAATATAACAGAACGGAGGAAGAGCTCCTCCACTTGATTTATGCTTGGTCAATATGTGCCAGTTAAAAGAAATATTTTAGGGAATTGTACAACAGGATTATTCTACTTCTACATTGGTCATGATTTTAATTAGTTAACTATGTGGATAGAAACTAACCATTTTTAAAAATTTGATTTCTACTTACAAAGCTATTTTAGCTGTTCTACTTTAAGGATGAGCTTTCATAAATTAATGTTTTACAAGTATATTTCTACTTCATTAACCTTTAACTTCACAGTAAGCTAGGAAGGCCAGGTAACTTCATGTGTAAAGTTGCAATTAAATGAACAGCTAGGTAGATGTGAACACAGAATATATGAATGGTTTTGCTTTTTACCCTGCTTCTACTTACACAGTATGTTCTTGAGTGCCATGACTGATCACTGCTGGCTTGAAGTAGGGTACCAACATACCAGTAACTAATAGTCAAATTATAACAATACATGTGGCATATATGCTTATTTTTTAATCCTGTATGAGCGCATCAGAAGCAGTTTATTAGTTTTGTCTACAGAGAGGCTTTTTTTCTGATGTGCCAGTGTTACTTTAAAGGAAATTTTGGGATACTAAACATCTGAGTAACCCATCCACTGCTTATATATAGACTAATTTTCACATAAACCAGATCCACTTCTCTGCTTACCTAAAATACAATTTACATGCCTCAAAACAAATTATCCTAAGACATGGCTCAGGAAGGTAATTTTGTACTTGAAACAAGTTTCATGAATGCTTGTCTTTATCTGGGCAAAAGATGTACATCACATACTGGTAATCCAATCTACATTTTCTGATTGGATTATCTGTATAGTAACAATCTAGTATGTGTAAAGTGCTCTTGCAGCTGGGGGGCATTCACTCAGGGTACCATTTTCTATACAAGTTTTCCACCAATAGGGTTGCTTATATAATGTTCTTTCTTAAATGACTTCATTCTCCTCCCCCTTAGATTAGGAGTCTGCATATTCTAAGTGCTCCCCATGTACAAACTTCACACTCGAATTCTTTGTAACACTGCTGTTTATCATGAGGAAAGTTATAGCTGAACATGATGACAATAACATGACTACTTACTTGGAGGAAATGAAAAATATAACTGATAAAAACTTCTTGACAGATTCTTAGCAAGATAAATCTAATCCTGATTTGGATCAGGCTTTGACCAACTTAAATGGTGGCGGTGACATTATCTTATAGTGTGACTTCTCTGTAGATTTCTCTGTGCCCAGTCTTCCTCATCTACTTCTCATCCTTTCTACCAATCTCATGTTGCACCTGCCCTGTATCACAAAGACCCTGTGTATGAAAGAACTCTGAAACACATCAAGGAAGACTACAAAGTATAAACTGTTAACAGGAAGTCTAATATGTACAGAATCATATATAATGAGCAGAATTAGATTTCAACTGTAAATGTAGAGCAACTTCTTTTAGCCTTTTATTCTTGAATAACCTCTATAAACCATTTTAAGTGGGCCTGGTTTTTGTGACTTAAATATGACAAAAAACTGTAACATACTTTCTGCAAAACTACTTGATAACACTAGTCAACTACTAATGACATATCAAAAATTTTCACTTAGCCCCTGTCTTTAGCCCTTGCCTCCTATCAAATGTGGTGGGTAGGGTAGGGCATAAATGTGAAAGTGTGGTTAGTGCTAAACTCTGGAGCCCTGGCTCACTTCTCTCTGGGAAGAAGAGAACTTGTGGGAAGAGGTTTAAAGTCTCTTTAAATCACAATGTGGAACTAAGTTCCACCTACCTCAGACCTAGCAGGTGTTAAAATACTATCTCATCATTAAGTGCCTCCACAACAGGGTGTTCCCTGTGATATTAACTAACATCAATATGTACGTTTTTGGATAGGGTTTTATTTTGGTAAGTAGTGCCCATGTGTTCTCAGTTTGCTTCGAACATCTAGAAAAAAAAACCTTCCAATCTTGGCCTACTTAAAAACAAAGCATATTAAAACACATTTTAAGTTGAAGATATATTGTATAAAGTGCTTCATCAACCAAATTCTCTAAAGTTTTACCAAAAAGGTCAATGTTTATACATACAGAAAAATGGTGAGTCTATAAATGGCAAAGAATTTTTAAAATGGTTAAGCTACTTTGGCATTCATTGCTAGTTTTTTAACTGGGCACTCTTAACTGCTGAATTTGTGAAATGGATCTTCAAACAGATTGTGAATAACAACATAAAGCAAATTTTTGAAAATTTAGTTACTTATGATATAAATGTTCAAAAATACATTTTTTAATCTGCAAAATTAAAACTCTAGAATTCCATTTATCTAGTAGCTGGCATCATTACACCAACAGAAGAGAATGTCTAATATTTCATGTTGGCAAGATTGTAATTCAACCCACTGTTTTTTTTGCTTTTGGTCAGACAACAAAAACTGGGTTTTTGCTACCTAATACTCTCCTTACGCTGTCAGCTAAAGTAGAGGGTCTAGACCTTGCTCATCTAATTTTTTATCTTAAGTCCATCTCAGCTACTTTATTTGGTGACTATTCTCATTAAAATCAGTAGAGCTGTGCTAAATACATCACTGCTTATTATTTAAAGACCATCTGTTGTCTAGCTACAGAAAATTTTACTTTATAAATTTCAGACAAGCTTTCTGTTTTTCTTCAGTGCAAACATCCTGAAACAGCACAAAATCATTCAGCTATTTAGAGGATGAAGTCAGTTTATGTAGTGCTTGAAAGAAGAATCCCAGATATTCTGGAAGGGAAACAGCCCATGTGGGAGGACAGTTTACTGTTGTCCTTAAGGGCAAATGATCATCTTCAGTGAGCGAAGATTATTTTTCTCTGAAATAACAGTTAAAGTTAGCTTTAGTTTACAGGTACTGGTGAAGTTTTAACAGGAACCAGTCTTTCACTGAGGCATGTAGCCACCTCGTCTGACAGTTTGCGGTAAGTAGCTTTTAGACATTCCTTCATCAACTGCAGCCTCCATCCCAACTGTTTCAAATCTCTCTACCTGTCCCTCAGTATGTAGACCAAAAGCATCTGCTACAGAAATTTCTTGAAACATTTTCATTTGCCCAGATCCACAGGACTGTGAAATATCTGAAATCTGCTGTTTGAGTCTAACAAAATCTTCTTCATTGACTGACGAAACTTGCTTTGACCTTTCAAAATGTGAAATATCTGGACTGGTTTCACGTTGACTGCAGTTTTGTTTGAAATACTGTTGCCTGGGCAAATTGCCAACACTGCTATCTGTGTTATCTACCAGCTGTAGATCTTCTGGCCGCTCTTCAGAATCTAACAAGGGCTGGGTGGACTCGGATCTTGAGAAGACTTGGACCGATGGAACCTGGTGTCTGTAGCCACTGTGCACCACTGTGGAATACTGGACGGTGCCTGAAGTGTTCTGGGCAGACTCATTTTCATCACTGCTAGAAATGCTTGGCCTAGAGGAGGACATGCACGATGAACCTCCAATACCACTGCTGTGTCCTTCAGTACTGATTTTTTCCTTCTTGAATAAGTCCAGTGATTTCAGATCTTCTGGAAAAGGCTTTTTGTCATTTGCTGCTTCTATCTCCACGACACTTACATCAGTGAAATTGCCATCTGAGTAAATCTGATCTTTTGAATTAAAATTATGCTAAGAAAGAAAGAAAAAAATCTATTATTACCTATGGCATAGGTTCATTTAGAAACTATGAAATATATATGGCAAATTCTAGTTAGAGCCACAGAGAAATGCATCTCTGAAACTTCTCAGTAATTTGGTGCGGACATAATCTGTATCACTAAGCACTGTCAACTAGCTCAACTACAGATACTGTGAAATGATTCTAAGAAGTATGAATCAGAGTGGACTTCCTCAGAATTCCCAATCAACTGTTAAATTTTGATAAGCTACTGGTGTATATACAGTATTTCATTACTAGACTACAGAGTTGAGGATTGACTAAAAAGTAGAAAACATGGAAAGTTCAAAGAATTTAGTCTAGGTTTCTAGAAATCACTGCAACAGTATGAAACTGGTAGGCTGTTAAATTTGATTTTAATATCCAATACAAAATGCTTGCCTTACAACATTTACCATATAGGAGTATTTACATATTAAGTTTTCAATTTGCAAGTTCAATGAAGTATTTTTCATGTTTACTGAATAGAATAAGGAATATAAGAATATGCTATGATAATATTTTATCATTTAGTTTTCAATTTGGTCTTATCATTTGGTTCAACTCTATAAAAATACCCTGAAATGTCCATGTATAAACAAGTCAGAAACACTTTATCTTACCCTAGGAGGTGTATGAGGTGACCACTGGGCGATATGACTCTTTGAAGGATCTGGAACATTAGGCCAGATATGTTTTTTAATTCTGGAGAGAAAAAGAAATAAAGTATCTGTGGAACCACATGTAATAAATAATGAACAGTCTTCTAATTCCAAACATGAGCTTAATCTAGTCATAATGAAAAACTACTAATAAGGCTAGTAATCAGCATTCAATTTAAAAAACTGAAATAAAATTCTACAATAGAAACCAATCAGAAAGTGGAATAAAGTCACAAAACCTTAAAGTACACCCCCCTCGCAACAACAAAAGAAGCAAATACGTTCAATTGCCAACTAAAACCACATAACACATTTTCACATAGCCACCAGGTAAAATATGATAAATTTGATTTTTTCACAAGAATATTTACCTCAGTATAGTTCCTAGTCCAAAGTTAGAGGTCCCTAAGTGTGTATAAGTATACAGGAAGTGAGTCATCTTGAGAGTAAGTTCAAATACAAAAACAAAACGGAGTAATAAGATCCTAACAGACTGACTCTCCTGTGCAAACAACTATAAAATCTACGTGTAATGTAAAAAATAATGAAGTTAACAACCTAAACAAAAGACCAACTAATGGATGAATTCCATGAAAGAGACTTAAAAAAAATTTCAGTTGTTTTACATAAAGAAATTGAGTTAAAATTTTTTTAATGTTTATTTTTGAGAGAGAGAGAGAGAGAGAGCAGGGTAGGGGCAGAGAGGGAGCCACAGAATCTGAAACAGTCTCCAGGCTCTCAGCTATCAGCACAGAGCCCGATGAGGGAGGGGCTTGAACCCACGAGCCTTGAGATCACGACCTAAGCCAAAGTCAGAAGCTTAACTGACTAAGCCACCCAGGCACTGCAAAAAACTGAATTTTTAAATTAACATTCTTCCCACAAAGAAAATCTCAGGCTCAAACTGGCTTTGTGAATTCTAGCAAACACTTCAACAGAAATACTATGAATACTATATAAACTCTCCTAGAAAATAGAGAAGGTAAGGTGTCCCCATTAATTTGAGGAGACCGTTCATTTTATGAGGTAATCAGTATCCCCTTGATTTCAAAAGTAAATGAACACACCACCAAAAAGAACCAATATCACTCATGAAGCATAAATGCAAAAATTAACATACTGAATCCAGACAGTCTAAGAAATGCAAGGACAGTTTAACATGTGGAAAAAAACCAATGAATACAATTCACCATATACATGTAGGAAAGAGAAAAATCGTATGATCATCTCAACAGATGACAAAAAAGCATCTGACAAAATTGACCCAATCATGACAAAAAACTCTCAGGAAAAAAATATAAGAGAACTTCCTCAACTTAAAATCAACATCACATGCAATGGTCAGAGACTGAATGCTTTCTCCCTTAAAATTGGGAATAATGCAAAGTTAATACTTAACCAGTATAGTAAGAAAAATAACTGAAAGGATAAACATCAGAATAACCATCTTTACTAAGCAGTATGACTATGTATGTGGAAAATGCTTAGGGACCCAAAAAGGTACTAGAGTAAATGAACTTACCAAGGTCTTAGTATACAAGGTCATTATATTAAAACAAAATTAATTGCATTTCTATTTCTAGCAATGAACAATTAGAAAATAAAAATTTCTAAAAATGCCATTTACAGTTGTATAAAAAACATTTAGGAATAAATTTAACATAGTACAAGGCCTACCCACTGAAAACCATATAACAGTGCAAAAGAAAAAGAAAACCTAGACAAAGAGAAATTAACAAGGGTGACTGCATGGCTCAGCTGGTTAAGCATCATCTGACTTTTGATTTCAGCTCAGGTCATGATCTCGGAGTTGTGAGTTTGAGCCCTACACAGGGCTCCATGCTGACAGGATGGAGCCTGCTTAAGATTCTCTCTCTCCCTCTTTCGGCCCCTTCCCCCCTCAAAATAAATAAATAAACTTAAAAACAAAAGAGATTAACATGTTCATGGACTGACCCATGTGACATAAATGTTGTGAACTCATGTTCAGATTGTATTTTTTGCCCTAATTTTATTGAGTCGATAAAATCTCAATTAGCACTGTACTCAGTTTTTTAAAAAAGACTTTCCTTTTGATATAAATAATATCAGCTTACCAAATAATCTAGTCAAAATAATTTTGAAAAACAACTTATTAAAAGAATTCTAACTGCTCTCAAAACTTACAGAGCTATAAAAACCAAGACTGTGTGGTACTGGCACGAATAGACATATAGAACAGAATTGAGAGTCCACAAATAAATCCAGACTTATATGGACAATTGATTTTGACAAAGATATCTAGGCAATACAATGGGAAAAAAAGTATTTTCAGTAAATAATGCTCGAACAACTAGTTATCTATGGAAAAAAAAATTCCCTGACCTCACACCATGCACAAAAATTAATTCTGAATAGATCATAGACATAGAGCTAAAATGATTAAGTTACAGAGGAAAATAAAGGAGAACACAATTGTGACAATGACTTAGGCAAGAATCACAAACTGATAACATGCACCTCATCAAAATTAAAAACGTGCATTTTCTAAAGTCACAGTGAAGAAAACGAGAAGCCAAAGCCACAAGACCAGACTTTCCACAACATATTTGACAAAAATTTTGTCACTAGAATATATAAAGAACTCTTACAGCTCAATATTACAGCAAACAATTCAATTTAAAAACGGGCAAAAGATTTCAGAACATCACAAAAGAATATAGATAAGTGGCACATGGAAGGATCCATTACTATTTACTAGGGAAATAGAAATTAAAACCACAGTGAGATAAAATTACACACTGATAACAAGGGGCTAAAATAAAAACCCTGACAGTGCCAAGTAACAGTGCCATGTAACAACTGGAACTCTCACGGTGCTGGGGAGAATACATGATGGTACACCTGCTTTGAAAAACAGTTTCTTATAAAGTTATATATGTGCTTCCTAGGTTACCCAGCAATACCAACACTAGGTATGTACTTACACAAGATAAATGATAACATATACCTACACAAAGATCTGTAGATGAATGTTCATGGCAACATTATTCATAATAGCCCCAAATTAAAGACACAACCTGAATTTCCATAACAGATGAACAAATTTTGATGTATCTACACTGCAGACTACTATTCAATAGATAGAAAAATATTAGTATATGCAACATGGATGAGTCTCAAAAACATGCTAAATGAAAGACATCCTATAAAAAGACTACATATTATCTATTTATATGAAATCTCAGAAAAGGCAAAACTACAGTCACAGAAAGCATATCAGTGATTACCTTGGGGCCAGGGGTTGAGGGAGAGGAGAGACGATAAAATAGAATGAGGAAACTTTTTTTTTTTTAATTTTTTTTTTTTCAACGTTTATTTATTTTTGGGACAGAGAGACACAGAGCATGAACGGGGGAGGGGCAGAGAGAGAGGGAGACACAGAATTGGAAACAGGCTCCAGGCTCTGAGCCATCAGCCCAGAGCCTGACGCGGGGCTCGAACTCACGGACCGCGAGATCGTGACCTGGCTGAAGTCGGACGCTTAACCGACTGCGCCACCCAGGCGCCCCATGGAAACTTTTTAGGGTAAGAGAAATAGTATCTAACTTGATTGTGGTGGTAGTTATATATCCATATGCAGCTATTAAAATTCATCAAACCATACACTTAAAATGAATGAATTTCACTGCATGTAAATTATAGCTCAATAAACCTGGAGGGAAGAACTGCAAAAACACAAATATGGGTACTTACAGGTCTCGCTTATTAAAGCAGAACAATACTCCCAAAAGGGTTGTCAATAGAAATGCTAGGCAAACAGGAACAACTATGGCTTCAATTTCTCCTTGAGCTAAAAATCAGGGGTAAGAAGTAAAATAAATGTCAACTCATGTGCTAAGAGAAATAATGAAACTTCCCAACCAAATGGCTGTTGAAAAGATGAAATACCATCCCGTTTTTATAGCCTTTTCAAACTTAAAGATTGTTTTCTGCCACCCCTGCGCCCCTTGGTAAATCATATCCTAGCTGCTTATACCTGACACAGTAACCTGGCCACAGAGAAAGGATAAACTCTATGTTGGTTAGGGGAATAAAATGACTAGTTCAGTTTTCTGGACAATCTATCCAATAAGTTAGAAATTTCAAACCTAACCATTTATTACATTTATGATCTGCACCCAGCAGAATCTTAACAAATGCTTATCTTTGCGATCTGTGAGTGCTGGGCACAAGTGGAAATATGGAATCCTGTATAAGGAATAAAAATAAAAGGTTCAAGCAAAATTTTTAATAGATTTTCAAAAAGATAGCATATCTGGTATACAGCTAAGAATTTGTAAGAATCTTAAGTACAAGGAGTGGCAGAAATAGGAATATTATCACCTAAAATCAACAAGCCTAAGATTTCTAGATAATTCCCAACCTGCATTTAAAAGAGGGCTTACTTGAGCAAATGAATCACTAATTGGACAGTTTATATTGGAGATATTTTTTAATGATTTACCTTATGGCTGTCTCTACTTAACTCCTCCAGCCTCCTTATAAGTAGAAATAGTCTTTTATGGGAAAAATTTATAAAAGTAATACTGCAGTCATATACTATTTACTCAGTCTAATCTTTGCACTACATATATCCCTTTATAAGTAACTTTATATTCTACAAAGCCTAATAGAAATCAGTAAATCAGATCAATGCTCGGAAATAAACTGGAGGCTGGCAAATATTCACTCTTGAACACTGAGGTTTTCATATAGGTGCCAAATCAAATTCAGGCAGACCCTGTTATTACTGTTGCCAAACTTACTATGTTTTCAAGTCTTGGGCCTTTGCTTATCTGTCCTAAGATGCCTTCTTCTTCCTTTTTATCCACATCCTAACTTTTGGGGACTCAAGTACTGACTCCTCTATATAATCTATGAAGATGAAATTCCCCCCTATAAATTATCTTTAAATTCCTACTCTATTTACTGTCTACATGGCCCAAATGCCTTTCCATTTAATTACTTTACTTATGTTGTATTTCTTCAAATAAAGTCCTTTGGGAACAAGGCCCATGCCATATGAAGAAGCCATAATATGTCCATAAAACAATAAACAGATAAGTGAAAAAAGCAGATAATTAAGTAATCCTAACAAGTATGATCTAATTTGGGGGGAAAAATCTATGTATAGAAAATAGAAGGATATACAAATATGTTAAGAGATTATTCTGGATGAGGGATTAGGAGTGGTTTTTCTTCTGCTCTGTACTGTATAGTCTAAAGGCCTATATAGTACACAATCTACTCTTATAACGAATATCACTTTCATTAGTTGAATATTTTAAAGGTTTATTTTTTTCTAAAGATCAATTTCAAGTATTACTTGTTAGATATTTATTTTACTAACATGTCACCACAAAATCTTATTCTAAAAACTATATTCATTTTTGGCAATCACAGCAAAGTTCAGGATCTTTTATTATCTATTTTAGGTAGTCACTCATTCATTTTCTCATTCACCCATCATTGAATAACAAGGAATATAGCTTACTATTTAGCATTCACTGTGTTGGTACCTGGGGGTGGGGGTTACAAATAAATGATAAAATAAGGTAATTTCTATTATGATTCAAAATGTAGGAAGAACAAGAAAGAATGCAGCTTAAGAATGCTTTAGGGAGGTTAGAGGAACTAGAAAAAGTGAGGACTTAATGTAGAGCTACACACTGGGAAAAGATGGAGAAAATAATGAGAAGCATATGACCAAAGAAAGAGATTACAAAAGGGCATGCAAAAGCAGTAATTAGAAGGCATGATCAATAGGATTTTACACTTGGCTCATGTAAGCAAAAAAGACTCATGGAAACAAAAAATTTATCACATCCTTATCTAAATTTGTGGGTTTGGCAAAGAGTTGGATGGCTGTGGCAGGGAACAAAGAGAAATGTATTTGGGAAAGAGGATGACTGAAGTCACGGACAGAGAGTTTAAATAGGCAGATAAAATACAGGGCTGAGAAGAGTGATATGGAAAATACAAACCATTTTTTAAAAAAGTGAAAAAAGAAAAAGAGATCAAGAAGGAAGTATGAGAAAGGGAGAAGACTCAGGAGAGTGTTGTTATTATACACACACACACACACACGTGAGAAGAACCAATGGAAAAGGCAGTTTCAAGGATGGAGAAGCCGAGTCAAATGCTGAGAAGTATAAAAATAAGGAGACTAAAAAGCATGTACTGGATATGATAACTAAAAGGCCTTCCCTGAGTGACATTAGGGAGGTTTCAGTGGATTGGTGGGTTGGAAGCCTGATTTCAGTGGGTTAAAGACTAAGCTGGAGGAAGGGAAGTGGAGCTTGAGAAGGTGAACTAGTCTTTCCAATAACCTGCCTACAAAAGAAGGAGTAAGACAAGAAGGTAAGAGACCACATTTGACTTTTGCCAGTGAAAAGATGAACCCATTTAGAAAGATACACAAATTCTTTTGGCATTTATAGAGTACAGATGAAATCAGTCAGAAGCAGTTAATAACAGAGCTGAGTTTTGATAGTTTAAAGAAACAATCCAAATCAGATAAACAATACAATACCAACAATTCATTTCTATGGATCCAAAGATGCACTTTTAACAAAATTTTAGCTTATTAACTAAGTCCATATTTAGTCTGATTAAAAAAAAGCAGAAAAGAGCAAATGTCATTATTTCTTACCAAACTTCGGTGTAGTAAAAGTGAATTCTGGGCCATCCTTTCCACCTTCGTCTGTGTATGCTGCCATTCGTACCATGTACAAGGTGTCACTGGTCAAAGAGGACAGTGTATATTCTGTGTGGGAGGAATCCACATTCACAGCTGGAAGAAATCAATAAGTCTGCTTTATTTAACTACTCAATGTTTCTGCTTGATTTGGCTTTTGACACTGCAAAAGTATTAAAAAGGAACATATTTTCCAGAAAATAATTTTCTTATCTCTGCCAGAATATTCTTCTATAAGCACAACACAGTATTTTTTTTTTCCACAGTATTTTTTTAATAGGCATATTCTCAGGTGTCTCTTTTCTGAGAATATACTACACTTAAGATGTATAACATAAAAAGGTGAGACAACATTTAAAAGCTTAAGAAAAAAACCAATGATTCTTAATAACTGATAGAATTTATTACCAGTTTCATTTCCAATGATGGTTCTATAAAATATAGTATAATTTCGGATAAATCCGTTCTGAACATCAACAGGAAGTTGGTCCCACTCTAAGACAGCTTCATTTTTCCCCACTTTTTTCGTCCGAACAGTAGGTCCTTTGGAAGGTGCTAAAACAGAATAAAAGTATTTGATAACTAAAAATTACTATGATTTAGTAAGTCATTAGGATTTACTAAAATTTAATTATATTATTTGAACATTATGAAACATACCCTTATTTTAAAAAGAAAAAAATGTCTTTGTTAATACAAAACTCAACATATTTCAAAGAAAATGAATTTGGACTTACGAGCTTGTTTAAGGTATGCCTTTATAGACTCAGGGCTTCCTGGTCCATCAGTATATACTGGAGTAACTGTTATCAAATAACATTTGCTCTCTGCTAGGTTCCCTAAAGAAATAATGGGAGAGTAAGCATTTTTCCCCACATAACAAAAAAGTCTACATTCCATTATTAACTTTACATTATAAATTTCATGACTATTGAACTTTCTTTTCTTTTAAAACTACAGCTTTTTAAGCAAGCATTGCCTTTTGTGTACTGGATTCAAGCTTAATTGAATAAAGCTTTTCATTAAAGTAAAAGCTTACTTTTATTGCCAATACAGTAGATTAAAAAATATATTGTTAGTAAAAGTACTTATTATATTTATATTCAGGACTTATAAAACTCTGATCTCAAATTATCATTGGTCTTATAGTTTGACATTGTACATCTTAACTAATTCTCTGAGAACTGCCTAATGACCCATTTATAAGAGCCAGGGAAAGCATTAATGGCCCTGGTTTGTCAAACCAGGGAAAAAAAGAATTAGTGCCATTTCCCCCAGAAAGTAGTATTATTTTTTTTTATTTACTATATGAAATTTATTGTCAAATTGGTTTCCATACAACACTCAGTGCTCATCCCAAAAGATGCCCTCTTCGATACCCATCACCTACCCTCCCCTTGCTCCCACCCCCCATCAACCCTCAGTTTGTTCTCAGTTTTTAACAGTCTCTTATGCTTTGGCTCTCTCTCCCACTCTAACCTCTTTTTTTTTTTTTTTTTTTTTTTTTTCCTTCCCCTCCCCCATGGGTTTCTGTTAAGTTTCTCAGGATCCACATAAGAGTGAAAACATATGGTATCTGTCTTTTTCTGTATGGCTTATTCCACTTAGCATCACACTCTCCAGTTCCATCCACGTTGCTACAAAGGGCCATATTTCATTCTTTCTCATTGCCACATAGTACTCCATTGTGTATATAAACCACAATTTCTTTATCTATTCATCAGTTGATGGACATTTAGGCTAAGAAAGTAATATTAAAAAGCCATCTTGAATACCTCTTTTATTTATAATCTCTCCATATTAAATCTTTTTTATACAGCCACTTTATCTGCCCACAACAGAAAATAAGGTATTTGTTATACCAAAGTTTATACTTTCAACAAGAACTTTTATTTCCTTAACTTAATTCGCAAAGTTATATACGACAGCTCCTTTGCTTTCTTAAACAGAATAATTTTACTTTTTCTTGATGACTCAATATTATCAAGAAGATAAAGAATTTTTAGACTCTGTTGTAATACAGTGATGTTATCAGGACTACTGAGCCACTGGATCTACCTGTGCAACCTGAAGGTCTCTAGAGATTATGCGAGGCTTTATTAAAAACATTTCTATTGTCCACTTACTACCAACGTGTCTTCTCTCTAGCTCCACCTTTCTTTTAATTTGATAAGGCTAGTAGACTAGACAACCAAATTTATTAAAACTTTTTTTTTTAAGTTTATTTATGTATTTTTGAGAGAGAAAGAAAACAGCGTGAGGTGGGAGGGGCATAGAGAGGGAGAGAAAGAATTCCAAGCAGGCTCTGCATTGTCAGCACAGAGCCCAATGCAGGGCTCAAACTCAGGAAGCAGTGAGATCATGACCTGAGCTGAAACCATGAGTCAGACATTTAACTGAGTGAGCCACCCAAGTGCCCCTATTGTTTTTTTAAATGATAGGTTAATGAGGGCCAAACAGCCTATTTCATAAATAAAGCTCACAAAATTTTATGGCAGATATGTCTTTGCTTGGAGCTTTTCTTTCAGCAATCATATTATTCATAATTGAATTCTAACGGTTATCCTTCTTTACTAAATAAAACACATAAAAGCTGAGTGTTTTGTCTTTAAAGTTGTTCTCTTCAAAGCCACATAAAAAGTTGTACCTTAAAATGCAGAGCAATCTACCACTTTGGAGCTCTACGGTATCATTAGAACTTCCAGTTAAAAGATGTAAGGAAATCTGAATTCTAGTTCTGCTTCCCCTATTCAACAACTTTAAGAGGTTAACAAGTCATTCATATGCTATAGGAAAATATCTTCTCACTGAAGGATGAGGAAGTTAAATCAGGTAAAGAACCATTCAACTAATTACCAGCAGCGATCAGATTATCTTAGATTTGTCTACTTTACAGTTTTGTTAGTGCTCCTTTGATGATCAAAACACTGAACCATAAACAGAAAATACTATTAACTCTGCTTTGTCCATAAACAGATCCTGTAGTTCATTCAGTGAGATTAAATGTGACTTGATGAGAGTCACACATCGAGAAAACTATATGTAACTTTTAACTATCATAAACTGAAACTCTTCAATAGACCACAATATCTGTAAAACAGACAAAAATACGTAAAAGAAAAATCTGAAGAGTTACACAAAGGATTTCAACTTAAGTTTTTTCTAGCTAGGAATACCTCTTAGAAAGGTGCGGTGTACAGTGCCATCTTCTTGTTGCCAGTCTGGGATGCACGGCGATTTATCTGATAATACACACCACTCAAGTATATACTTGTTTACAGATTCATTTGGAGCAGTCCATTCTACCCAAAGCATATTATCTTTGGGAAATGCTTTAAGATCCGTGACTGGGCGAGTAGCTTTAAAACAAAATTTGAAAACTGGTGTGATAAATGAACATTAAAAAATTTCAAATTTTGATGTTTTACATTTCCAAACTTGCTATCAGTTTTTGTAGTATATAATATTAATATGTATTTCCCTTAACAAAAACACTTTATTATAATTTACAAATAGATAGTAAATTTATTTTGAAACTAAAATTCTTCCTTTCCCCAAATTCTTCAAATGTTTTGTGTATGTAAATGGAAATATTTTCTTCTTTGAAAGCCATAAACAATATATTTAAGTCATATTCATATATGGCTCCCAAAGCTTTTAAATAATATTTAAGAAAACGAGATAATTAGAAAATGAGTAAATAAATAAGTAGATTACTTCAAAGTTTAAGTGAGCCACATGATAATGGAATGAATTATTTCATTGCTGACTGATTTCTAAAACTATTATAATCGATACTGAAGAGGCAGTCTCAGAATAATTATGTATCAGGTATTAGAATATGTATTATGTATATGTATTATGAACCACTTTTCCCATCTCATAGATACAAACCTTGAAAGTTATAGGCAGGGATAGTTAAAACAGCTGCATCTGATTTGCCAACCAGATTTCTTGCTGTCAGAGTTGCTATGTAACGATCATTCGTGAGGTTTACTGTCCATTTTGTGTCATTCACTGTATAATTCTGTAAACGTGATTTCCATCTTATGAGAGTCACTTCATAATCCAAAATTTTTCCATTGGCTTCAAAAGGAGGCAATGTCTATAATAAAATAATTTTAAAAATGTATTTAACAAATCTTTAATCATTTTTTTTCATGTTCACAAATTCTGCTGTTACGTCAAACCTCCATGTTTAACTGAAAGGCACTGGCAACCTCACTTTCAACTCACAACCTTAAGTATAACTACTATATAGTGAATGAAGAGTAAACACATGACTTTGACTAACAGGGAAAGTAAAGTAGCACCATTCTGTTAGCTTTTAGTTCTGTAAACTATTGTGCACTGTGACTATCTGGCCCTAAATCATCTTATGCTGGAGTACTTTTCTCTCTACCATTTCTTAGTATGGTACACCTTAACACTTATGGACTTGACAGTCATTGTATAATTCCTATTATTGGCATACAGTTTGATTACCCAAAACCTTTATTAACTATTTTCTATGAGGCACTCAGGAAAGTTCAAGGACAGACAGGATCCTTCTTACAAACTTTCATAGAACTGTGAAGTATCTGTGAACTGCAGTTCATGATCCTTTTATGTAGTATATATAAAACTCTGTTTCTATTAAACGCTTTGCTGATATTAAGATGAATAAAAATGTAAGTTAAAAAAACCACACTCATAATGCCATAAAAATGTACTATGTAAGCAATAAAAGAATATAAACATGCATTTTTTTTCTTTACCTTCCATATGAGTTGCACAGATCTATAGCCATGAGTATGGGATGGCTCTATCTTATACCAGAAACTTGGTGCCTTGGATGGTCCTAAAGAAATGATATAAACTTTTTAAAATAAAAGTTTTTATCATAGCAGTAAAATATAATCCTGGAAATTATTCTCTTATTCTCTTACTTTGTTCTTATTCTTGCCATTCAATCACATGATGTATCTTTTTTTACATGTTTATGTATTTTGAGAGAGAGAAGAGAGACAAAGGGAGAATGGGGGAGGGGCAGAGAGAGTGGGAGAGAAAATCCCAAGCAGGTCCTGTGTGGTTAGCATGGAGCCGGATGCAGGGCTTGAACCCATGAACCGTGAGATCACGACCTGAGCTGAAATCAAGAGTCAGAAGCTCAACCGACAGCTCCACCCAGGAACCCCTAAACTAGCATTTTTCCCATTGCAGCACACCATGCCTGGGTCTTCCTTTATAGAGAAAGATAGCTTGATGATATAGATTAGAATGCGTTTTTTATGTTAAAATTGTAAAGCTACAAATATATCCTAAGGTATACCAAAAATGCATCACCATTTCTTGCTGCTAAAAATTAAACCGAAAAACCGTATTTAAATATACACTTAAAACCCCTAAATGTGGGGCACCTGGGTGCCTCAGTCGGTTGAGACTCTGACTTCGACTCAGGTCATGGGTTTAAGCCTCATGCTGGGCTTTTCATAGACAGCACAAGTCTTTGGATTCTTTGTCTCCCTCTCTGCACCCTCCCCCCACCAATCACATTCTCTCCCTCTCTCTCTCTCTCTCTCAAAAATAAATACACATTAAGAAAAAAAAAACCCTAAATGTATATATGAGAATACAAAAAATAATAAATTGAATAAATATGGGCTAAGTTTATTATCTTACGGTGGGATGACTGTTAACAGGGTATAATAAAAATGAATTCATAGTACTGTTGTGATAATCACCAAACATGTGAAAAATGAAAAAGCACTTTACAGGATCAGGGCGCGTGGGTGGCTCAGTCGTTTGAGCACCTGATTCTTGATTTCGGCTCAGGTCATGATCTCAAGGGTTCATGAGATCAAGTCCAACGTCTGGCTCTGTGCTGACAGTACGGAGGCTGCTAGGGATTCTCTCCCTCCCTCTCTCACTACCTCTCCCCTGCTTATATGTGCATGTGTGTGCTCTACCTCAAAATAAATAAATAAACTTATAAAACCAAATATCAAATGCCAGTAATTAGGTTTTCAAAATTCCTATAGGATCAACTGATTTTTCAAAAAAGGATCTGAGTAACAGCAAAACTGTGATGTGCTCATTATAAAGAGGTAATTACAGAGGACAAAACAAAGAGGAAAGACAGACAAGGGAGGCTGGGGAAAAGACTGCCAGTATAAGGGGTTCAAATAGATACACACGCATCAGTATACAAGAAATTATAAAAAAAATGTTATAGGCCAGAAAGATTTCCTAACATGAAAAGAACCTGGAGGCATCATTCATTAAGTTGAAGAAATGCTTATCTAAATGGCTCATAATTTTCTGGGTATCTGTTTGATTTGACAAAGGTTATGTACCATCTCCCCAGAAAATGCATACAGGCACTAACTACAATATTTTGTCCACATTTTAAAGTAGTTCAGCAACCCCTGCCCCCCAAACTGACCCAACCAGTTTTCAAGACCTCTATGATGCCAGTTTAAGAATTCCTGGGGGCACCTGGGTGGCTCAGTTGGTTAAGTATCTGACTCTCGGTTTCGGCTCAGGTAATGATCTCACGGTTTTGTGAGTTCGGGCCCCACATTGGGCTCTGTGCTGACAGTGTGGAGTCTGCTTGGGATTCTCTCTCTGCCTCTCCCCTACTTGTGCTGTCTCGGTCTCTCTCTAAATAAATAAATAAACT